CGTTACAGTATATGTTTTACATTGTGTGTACATGTACAGTTTTGTGTGTGTTTTCAACATGTCAGGAGTGAAACGTAAACACGTTACTCTTTCATTAAATGAAAAATTAGCAGTGCTACAAAGACTGGACAAAAGGGAAGATTGTTTATTTTACTTTTTTTCTGATAATCCGACCTTTTTTGCATTCCGACCATACCCCCAGTCCCAAAGGTGACAGATTAGAGGGGTTCTACTGTACTTTTTTATTTCATTACTTGAAATATTTTTCTGGTTTCATACAATGGAAAAAAATTTTTACACGTATCATTTTTAGCACATATATTTTAATATATGTGCTAAAAATTATTTATTTTCATTAGTTATGCCAGATATATTTCAATATATCTGGCATAACTAATGAAAAAAATTAATGCAAAAGTGGAACATAAATATGTTGGATAACTTTGTGATATTAATGCACTGTAGATTTAAACATCAGTGATGTAGAATGCTTGTTCCATTTTGCATTAACTTTTTCCATTGCATAAATCAGAACTAATGAAAAACATTAAAAGTGATACGCAGAGAAAATTTTCTTTGCATACAAACTCACTATATCATTTTAAAAAGCTTTTATTGATAAAAAGTCAGCAGTGGTACATAATTTTAACAAATAGTAACTCTTATACAAGGTGCTAATTTGTACATTTTTAAAGTTTATATTAAACTATTTTTTATTACCTAAAAACATTAAATTTTTTTTTACATTTCTATTCTACTTTTTATCATTATTTTTTTGTAGGTTTAGTTTAAATTATTTTGTATATAAGACATTTTAATAATAATGTAAGAGGAAAAGTGCAAGAAATGTATTATATGAATCAAAGTCTAATTGATTTTGATCTAAAGGTTATTTTTAAAGCAAATAAAATATGTGAAAAATGAAATTTATATGAAATCAAAGTGAAACTAACTTTGATTCATATAAATTTCAGTTTTTCACAAATTGTATTCACTTGAAGTAAATTAATGTAAGGTTATTTTAACTTCTTTAAACTCTGTTATTTTAATCCTTGAAGCCTGTATTCAAAACTTCAAAATGCATATTTTGGCATTACTTCCAAAACCATTTACCAATCTTGGCACAAGCATTTAAGTTAAATGTAATGACAGTACTCATTTATAAAATTTAAAATGTTGATCCTTTTTTTATTTGATGTTTGAAATTTTAAGAACATTAGAAATCTTATACAGTATTCTTTACTGATTATCAAAATGTGATTCTCTTTTATTTTTATGCTATGGCTCTGATATATAATGATACCTAACTTTTGCATAATGTTGTCTCGACTTAATTCCTCTATTACACTTAATCGTATTATTGTTTTATATATGTATCCAACAGCTTAAATATAAAACATTAAAGATTGTAAATTTTTTCAAAGTTTATACTTATGTCTTGGCTAATAACTTTTTATAAAAATTAAAGATTGAATTTCTCTTATTGCATAATTAGATGTCTTAAAAAATAAAATTATTTAACTTTTCTGATCTTAAGTGATTCATTAAGTTATGCATACTTTGATTTATGTTTGCTTTTGATTATTTAGTTAAAATATTTTTTGATTATCATAAACTAAAACTATTTCAGTATAATTTAATTATATGTTCAGTTTATTTAGACAAAAAAATAAAATATCAGTAGAATTCAATACATAAACATAAATGAATATTGGTATAAATTTCAGTTAATTAATACGAATCTGAAAGAAAGAAATTTAAATTTGTTTAAGATTTTTAATACTGAATTTAAATGTTAAATCTATTATAATGGAAATGAATCTTTTAGGAGTTCATTAAAAGTGACAAAAATTATATAAAGAATTTTTTAAACTAATTATTGTAGATGAAGATATGATCTGTAAATTCTTGTTTGGAGGACTAATTAAATAATTACTAAAGAAGAATTTTAAACTGTTTGCTATAAAATCAAATCAGTGAAAATGATCATTTTTAATTTTAAAATATTTTATATTTATATTAACACAATAAAGGTTTCGTATTGATGTAAAATGTACAAATAACAGAAAAGATATTTTTTGAAGTAATGTATACACAAATGAAAAAAATATATATAAAATGAAATATAGAATATAACTGATGAATATGTAATACTATAATGCAACAGACTTTGTGTGGTTAATAGTAGTACTTGATAAATATAGCTATGATACTTATATCATAGCTATATTTATCAAGTACTTTTATTTTGTAATGTAACTATTTTACATTTTTTCTAGTTTCAAAAAAAAAACTTTTTATGGAATAAATATATATATTCCATAAAAATCATTAGTAACATGAATGTTTTTAAAATTTCAAATTTTTTATTTCATAGAATACCTTAAAAAACATAACATTATAAGTTTGAAGTAACTTTAGTTACAATCACCTAGAATAAAATGTAAAGTACTCTTAGTCAATGCTGTCGAGAGAGAAACTTAGCAGTTCAAATGCAACCAAATATTTGGTATGGTGACATTTTAGGACATGCATAAGACATTTCTGTAAAGAAAAAAAAATTACTATTAAATCTCACCAGTATGGCACTTATGGTGCTTTGGATCCAAAAATTTGTATGATTTTTGCTTATGGGAACATTATTGAAGACATGTTACCAATTTGATAGTCTTGAAAGACTGTATCACACTACATGTGATAAGCATCACAGAGGATCAATTACAGTTGGGTGTTGAACACACTGTTCATTACCTTCAGGTTTCACCTTTCTGAGTAGAGATTACATTGAACAATAACCTCTGCTAAAAGTCTCTGTATGGCATGAGTCTCTTGTTCAAATAAAATGTTTATTGCTTGCGGTACAAAAAATGTTATAGTGATAGGTTTAGTACTAATTTTTACTTTCCTGACTTTATTATATATAACAAAAGGAAAGTATGGCAATTTGTGAAAAATGATCCTTCAAAATTTACATTTTTGATCTTAGGACCTTAAAACATTGAGAAATGCAAAATATTTGGGGATTTTTCTATATGTATGAATGTTGATGTGTATGGGGGGGACAATTTTGTTCACTCACTTTGAAGCTTAATAAACCCTGTGTCTTTTGTTGAAAATTTCTTAAATTTTACACAGAGGTTTGTTTATAAGAGGGATTGATGCTGTTAAGTTTTGGTGGTTAAAGGTTAACAGGGTGGGAGATAAAGTAGGTTGTGTATCATATCTCGAGTAGGGTCAGACTTAATGACAATTTTACTTGTTATTAGCATTTACAATTTTTTATGAAATAATTCAAAGTTTGTTTTATAAAAAAAAAATTAAAATCAAAATTAAGCTTTTTGCCATTTTATAATAATTAAAAATATAACAAGTTGTTTATAAAATATCATAACAGATGGCACCACCAAAATTTTAAATTTACCAGGAAAGTTAAGCAACTCCTTTCTGGATATTTTTAATGAAAGTTTCTTTCACTTTGCATGTCTTCAAATGCCAGATAGGTTTGCAATTTAAACTGCTAAATATCTTTGTAGACAGTGTTGAATAGAGATACTTTAATCATGATTACACAATACATGATATTAGTGTATATTCTTGTATGATAATATTATATAAAAAATTTTGATTTATTAACTTTTTAGTAAGAAAAGAGAACCTTTTTTGAAAAATATATTTAATTTATTAAAATTGTAAATCTTAATTCTCTCATTGAATTTAA